CGCTTTTATTTTTAATTATGTCAGTTTCGGTCCTCCGTACAGCAGAAGCCTGATAATCACCCATTCATTCAGATCAGGTGTGTTTGAGCAGAGAAACAAGTAAAACATGCAGGGCTGAGACCCTCGAGGACCAGGATTGCCCACCCCTGCTCTAAAGCCACACAGAGTGGAGCTAAATAAATACTGGTACATCTGAAGCTCAGTGTAACTCCGAGTCTCCCGGTCTGTCCGAGTCTGTTTTCTGCAGTTATTGTCTTTTTTTCTAACACGAGCACCTGGCAACCTTTGTATCCATTAACCATAAGCAGCAGTTAAAGCACTGAGCTGATGGAGAAGCTCTTCGGGAACCGAACCCAATGATCCGTGACGAGAAAATAAAATGGAAACCAGAGGCCATGAAGCAAACGCAGAAAATGAAAAGGGAAAAGAAATGCCAGATTTTATAGAGCTTTTTATTTTCAAACTCAGGCACTGGTTATTTTCCCTCTTGTTATAAAACCAAAGCCATGTGAAATAGAGTTTCAACCAGTTTACTGCAACTCATTACAGCTCAGAAAAGCTCGCTGGTTTCCCTTCATTCAAACACAGGCTGCGGTGTGGAGCAAACGGTTTGGTCAGCCGACTTTAAATGATGCTACGGAACAGGCTTCCTGTATAAGACGAAGCTCAAGCACGTGTTCACGTGTTTTATGAACGGAAAGAAATGTACAGGAGCATTGATTTTCAAAGCACGTTCCTCTTGGACAGCGACGATTTGAGGCCGGTGGAGTGTTTAATGAGATTAACGACTGGGCAGAACCAGACAGATAGATACAAACAYGCAGACAGAGCTGAGTGTGTGTGTGTGATGGATGCTTCAGATAAACTCGTCATTAATCACATTCATACTGTTTTCTAGACGCAGAGACCCGGAGGCGGCCGACGCAACGAGGCGAACGGAATGGACTCGTGGCTACTGTTGCTGTTAGAGCTAGTTGATACAGCAGCTCTAACAGTTGATACAGCTACAGGACTCTAAGGGACCCCCTTCGGGGGTCCCTTAGAGTCCTGTAGCTGTATCAACTCCAAGATGTGGTGCAGTTAATGAGGTCTACAGCTGATATWAAGGATAACCCTGCTGTTTGACTGATAATATACTTAGCATTAAGGTCATAAAGTTGTGCATGCACGTCTAAGAGATAAAAAAGTCCTTATAATGAGGCCTTCTTATGCTTGAGTTAGTAATCAATTAATGAATTAACAAAAAAATTAATGATAATATGAATAATTATCCTGCASTCCTATGAAAATAAACACAAAGATGTGACTTTATTAAGCCAACACTGCCCTCTGCTGGACACAGGAAACATTTCACTACACAAAGCAGCCACTGTTCAAAAGAATGTCCCAACACAGACGAGCTACATCTAATGGCCAGAACTCTGCAGTTTTCACC